TGTTTATATGGTCTGAAGTTGCACCAGGGCAGGTTTAGGTTGGACATTAGGAAAAATTTCTTCATAGAAAGGGTTGACAGGCTCTGGAATGGGCTGCCCAGGGAGGTGGTTGAGTCCCCCATCCCTGGGGGTATTTAAAAGACAGGCAGATGAGGTGCTTAGGGAGAGGGTTTAGTGGTGGGATGACAGGGCTAGGTTAAAAGTTGGACTTGATGATCTGAAAGGTCTTTTCCAACCTAGATGATTCTATATTATTCCTTCCCAGGTCAGTGCATCACCCAAAAAAAGGGGATTTCTCCCCCTCCACCCCATGGCTTTTCTGGCCTTTTTATAGACACGGGAATGGAGGAAGGGGGAATGCAGAGAGAAAATCAGTCTTCAATTCCCAAAGCAGCAGGTGGACTTTTGATTCTTCAGATTAATTCTCATTTTTTAATGAGAAATCATTTAAATAATAATACTTTAAAAAAAAATCATGCGCCTTGGGGCATTTTGTGCTGGTTTTGTTTGTTTGTTTTTTGTTTTTTGCTGCTGTTGTATGTCAGAAAGAGCTTAAAAAAAAAAAGTTTGGATGCTCTTTTATTCCCCATGAAGTCTAAAAATAGAAGCTGACGAAGAACTGCTTGTAAACTTGCTGTTCTGCTCGGAGGGTTTAGCTTACGTCTAAAGCTGTGCCTTCTGACATTGCAACAGCTCAGCTTTGCAGAAGCACAAAGGCTGGGCTTAATGAGCGTAAGCAGGGAGGAGAGCAAATCTCTTTACCAGCCCTCTTGCTTCTCTCCTCCCGTCTCCATCCTTGGCCAGGAGAAGACCTTAACCTGAGCTCAAGGCACAGCGCAAAAAAAAAGAAAAAAGTGTGTGAAAATGAAAGCGAGACGTAAGTGCTGGGAGCACAGGGAGGGTGGCGGGGGAGAGGGCTGGGGCTTTATTTACTGGCAGTGCTGCCGTGCCCGCTGGTGGTGGCGAGGTGGGTGGGATAGCTTCTAAATGCAGCCTTACATCATTTTGTATTTATTTCTGTAAGCAAAAGACTTGGCGAATGTGTTGGGGGGTCACGGTGTTGCCATAGTCTAGTGGCAAAGCATCCTCATCTTTGGGAGCACAGCTTGCCGTTGTACTTTGAAAGCTTGGTGCTTTCAAAGAGGGAAACGTATGAAATCGGCGTTATAACGTGTGTAAGCCACGTTATAAGCTACTCAGTGATAATGTATGTATAACATAATCTGTTAGAGGTTATTGGATGATAACGGTGGCCACTTCTGAAAGGGTGTGAAGTCTTCTGCGCTTTGGGGTCTCCGAGTTGTTGTGTACAGGTGCTTGGGGGGGTGACAGCGGGGAAATTCAGCCCAGGAACATGGGGCAAAGTCCATTCGCCGGTGCTGGAGGGGGATCAGAGGAGAGGTGGCGTTATAAACGTGGCAGCTCATGACGAAAGCGAGCTGTGCTTCCTCTCCCGGGTATCTGCGCACGCTTCCCCCCCGCCCCCAGCGCTCGCTGGCTTCAAGCAGAAGCGTCACGCTTTGGGGTGATGACTTGATTTTGCTCTTGTGAAACCAGTGCGTTGCTTCTCCGCGTTGCTTCAGGTGAGAATTCAAAACTTGTTTTAAAAAGATGATTAGCTATGCGTTGGGCGCTGGTGCCCTTTGGACTGTGCTAGCTGTTTGGATGTATTGGGCGGGAGCTGCACGTGCTTAGAAGGTGGCACGGGTGACACCGCCGCTGCCGGCTCTTTTCCATGCGAGTTGGTGATGCTGGGTTACTGATCTTAACCTTAACCCGAGGTCCCGTATGCTGCTTCTCCCTCTCCCCCAGCTTGTTCCTGGAGGAATGGCCTGGACCCCCCATTGCATCCCTTCTTGGCGGCAACATCCTCTTAGACCAGCTGAAGTCGGGCGTAACACTGTGCCTTTGGCTTGGGCAGGGGGCGTATTCTGCCTGCTGAGTTGATGGTAGCACCCGTCTGCCGGTACAAAGGTGCGAGGGATGCTTGAGATCTGCAGGGCAAGCCCCTCCATCCCCCGGCACTCGTATCAGGTCAGCAAATGGGGCTCTTTGCAGTGGTGCCCAGCGCCAGGACAAGGGGCAATGGGCACAAACTGAAACATAAGAGGTTTCAGTTGAATGTGAGGAAAAACTTCTTTACTTTGAGGGTG